AGGTTGAGAAGTTAGAGGGTTGACATGTTGTGGGGTTGTTAACCAATGTCATAAAACAATATGTGTACTACTGTTTCATGAGAAACTACTTGTTCCATAAGCCTTCACCTGAAGTACTAAAAAAAAAAAAAAAGTGTTTGTATGCTACTCATATAATTAAAAGTTATAAAAAGGAACCTATATCCCATAGCATAAAAAGCATAGAAAAAAGCTTGACTAGTAAGAAAAAAAAGCCCCCTCCCCCAAAAAAACCTAGAAAAATGTTCACTTCCTATTAAAAGGGCTTTCATTTATAATGAGCTCTCACAAATGAACAAGAAAATAGTTTTAGAAATCTATCAAAAAATGAGCAAAGGACATGAATAAACAGCTTATAGAAAATAGAATATTGGCCAATAAATGCAGAGGAAAAAAAGTTCATCATCACTGCTGATTAAAGAAATGCAAATTAAAATAAGACATCAATTTTTCAGCTATCACCGCAAAAGTTCTTAACAATGTAAGTAGGTTAAGAGTTGCCGAACCTGGAATACTTGAAGGAGTCGTAGGCACAGCTGCAAAAAAAAAAAAAAAAGAATAAATTTGATTCTATGAACTCACCAGCCTTATCAATACAATATTATAGATTTGATTTTTTGAAGAGATTCATTATTAATAAAAATGACAAACACCAATATTTTCCAAACTTTGAAATTGTACTTCTGGGAATTTAACCTAAATACATTATTTGTATGAGTCTGCAAAGATGATAAGAATGTTCACTACGCCTTTGTATTGTATAATGAAAACCCTAGAAGTTGTTACTGTGTGGTGTCCAGTCGACTGCAACTCATAGCAACCCTATTGGACAGAGGAGAACTGCCTGTAGGGTTTCCTAAGGTATAATCTTTATGGCAGCAGATAGCCTGATCTTTTCTCCCACAGAGTCACTGTGTGGGTTGGAACCACGAACCTTACAGTTAGCAGCTGTGCGCTTAACCACAAGTAATGTGCTCAGGTAAATATATACATCTTTAGGAAAAAAAAGACAAAAACATTACATACTATGTAATCTGCATGTTAACTCTTTTCCATTTAATATTTTTTAGACATATTTTCATATGAGCACATTTAGATCTACCTACCACCATTATATGCTGCTGCTGATACTTTATACTCTTTCTATAACTGATGATAAAAAATGACTGACAATCCCATGTGGAATTTTTATTTTTCTGTTTTTAAAAAAAGATTCCTGTAATTCCTCTGCTTTATAAACTTTTTCTCACAATCAATTCTCTCTTCTTTCATCAGTGTTTTACAAAATCCTTTATGAAATGCTCATGGTCAACTCTTTCAAAAACAGCAAATCTACAAACTTAGCATATACCCATGAGGAACATGTAAATAAAAATGGATGGGCCAAGGAGGGCAAATTTCATGTGCAATCTTAGTTTTGTTCTTGTATCAGTCCACCAAAAAACTAACTCTTCCCCCCAAAACCCCACAGTACACAACTAAGGTATACTCATGGAGGCTACCAGGTACAAAGTTTACAGGAGCTACAAAACAGTATTCTAATAGCCATGTTAAGGTGCACGATTCCCCTCCTTCCTTTAGATGACTAATTTAAATATTAGGGAGATGGGAAATATATAAAAATATCAGGCCAGCCAGTAATGGACATTTGTTTGAGTTCAACACCTGCATTAAACCAAAGGGAAACTAAAGCCCATAGAAATGATTTTACTTAAGTAAGCAAACCCTGGTGGCACAGTGGTTAAGAGCTCAGCTACTAACCAAAAGGTCAGCAGTTCAAATCCACCAGGTGCTCCTTGGAAACTCTACGGGGCAGCTGTACTCTGTCCCATAGGGTAGCTATGAGTAGGAATCGACTCAACGGCAATGGGTTTGTTTTTTTTTTTTTTGGTTTTAAGTAAGCAGAGCCAAACTTGGACCCTGAACAGAGTCTGTCCCAACTAATACTCTTTCTACTATTCCTACTGTCCTTTTCTTCTGTTGCAACCAAGGTGAAGCCAGAGATCACAGCAATGAAATCAGGAAGACAATCCCTTCTATCCTATCAAAATAATCCCTCAAGTCTTAAGTGCAGTGACTGATCGATCAGTAGTCCCTGCAAGAAATTCTCCATTTTATTTCAGTACATGGGGACTTTCCCTGACTTTTCAGCTGCTACGAAATTTAGGTTCTGTTGCCAAAGAAAACCACTCAGTAACAAGGAAAAGAAAAACTGTCTGAGGCAGGAAGATGGGGAGAAGAAATACAGGAATTATTCTGGAGACAGCAGGATTTCCCCCAGTTAAATCTTCCAGTTAAAAGGAATTAGACTGGTTGCATCGCAAGGAATGAAAACACAGCCCTAGATCAGGGGACACCTAGTAAAGGTGCCAACAGATCACTCTTAAAATGAATAAAATAGCAAAGCTGATGACAAATAATACACATATTAAAAAACAATAGTCATGGACCTTCCTTTTCACTGATACTTGTTCAAGTGGTGATATAAATCATATTAGCTAACTTTAAGAGCTTCCTATATGTTCTGCTATGCTCTGCGCTAAGGCAATCTGCTCCCATAAAGGTTACTCATTGCCATCGAGTCAATTCCGACTCATAGCGACCCTGTAAGACAGAGTAAAACTACCCTACAGGATTTCCAAGGCTGTAAATATTTATGGAAGCAGATTGCCACATCTTTCTCCTGAGGAGTGGCTGGTGGATTCGAACCACCCACCTTCTGGTTAGCAGCGGAGTGCTTAACCGCTGTGCCACCAGGTCTCCTCTGTAAAGACTATAGCCTAGGAAACCCTCTGGGACAGTTCTACTCTGTCCTATATGGTCACTATGAGTTGGAATCAACTAGACAGCACACAACAACATCACCCAGTGACGAAGGTACTGAATCATTTTACACGAGAAAACACATTTAAAGTTTATGTAATTTGCCTAAGTTCACACACCTGTTCATATTTGCAGACTATGGCAAATAATTTAGAATCACCATGTATAACAACTAAAATGGCTGTAAATTTTCTTCCTCCTTTCATTACTAAAAATGATTAATAATTGTAAACCACCAGGAATTTAAAGGATTCTTGAAAAACAGAAGCAGGAAGTTACTAAACCTGAAGGATTGGAAATTGGAGATACTGTATTGGCAAGAGTCGACACTGGAGCAGTCGACACTGCAAAACACAATAATAATGCAGACTGTATCAGACACTTGGAGTTACTGCTGGCATTTTCACCAGGAATTTAAAGAATTTTTATAAAATATAAACAGGAAATTACTAAACCTGAATGACTCAAAATTGGAGGTTTTGTAGTGGGAGAAGTCGAGGCTGGAAAAAAAATAGAGATGGGTCAAACACTTGGGAGCAACTGCTCATTTTTATGAATTATGGCTTTCATTCACTAATTATATAACAATGTCCATGTCATCTTTTTATACATAAAAATATCTATCAAGAGAGATTTATACACTGGTGTGATGTACATAACATGGCATGTATATAATATGTCATATATCTGGCATGGAAATGAACACAAGACAGAGTTAAACACAAAAATTATTTCCTTTCAATTATTCTGTGTCATTGATATTTAAGGTCAAAGATATAAAGCTTAAAAAAAGGAACAAGAAAGAAATAGACAATCTTTGTACCTTTAACACACTGTGGAATTGGGGGAACCCACAAACCATCTTCTTCACAGGTAATTGTGTTGCTTCCATTTATGACAAAACCCGCATGGCACCGAAATGTAACTTTTGATTGGTAGGTAAATTTTGTTCCAAGCCCGGCTATTCGATCTGCATTTTGGACATCTGGAAAAATACATTTCACCACTGAAAAGTAAAGAAAACTCAGAATTAATGGAAAGTTCTTTAACTAGGACGAGAAAAAGTATTGTAAAGTAGTTAATTTCCAGTGGGAACAAAGATACAAGAATAGGAAAGCAAGATGTTAGAAAATAATGACTTTATATATTTAAAATGAAAAATATAAAGCATTTTAATTTCAGATAAAGATACAGTGAAATCTAAGAACTCTCTCTACTCCTCAAAACAAACTGTCATTATATTTATTTTCTTTACTAAATTTTTTTTCTAAAAAAATTTTGAGAAAGGTCTGTAAAATAAAATTCAGAGCAACTTCAAAAGAAACTTTAAAAATTTTTTTTTATTGTACTTTAGATGAAGCTTTACAGAACAAATAGTTTCTCATTAAACAGTCAGTACACATATTCTTTTATGACATTGGTTAACAACCCCACGACATGTCAATACTCTCCCTTCTTGACCTTGAGGACCTCTTTTTTGGTGAAAATATACATACCCAAAGTTACACCATTTTGAAAGTTTCTACATGTACAATTTAGTGACATCGATTACATTATTCCAGTTGTGCTGCTATTCTCACTATCGTTTTCCAAATTGTTCCATCACCATTATCTTCAACTCACTGTCCCCCAGGCTTCCCATCAAACCTTTTGAGTTGCTGTTGTCAATTTGATCTCACATAGATTTTGTTTTTGTACCTTAGATGAAGGTTTGCAGAACAAATAGTTTCTCATTAAACAGTCAGTACACATATTGCCCTAAGAC